ATTTCTGAGGTCAGCTCAAAAGGTCTTATGATTGCCTCCCGTTTTTTGCAGTCAAAATGAATTTCTCTCCCTTGGTATAACCGTCTGTGTGCAAAAGGTGTCTGCATGGATTATTTTCCAAGGAGAGCTGAGCATGTTCATAGGCTGAAAGGAAAGCCTCAGTAGAGAGAGCTTTCCATGGAAGGTGAGAAAGGGACATAGGTGAAAGAGGCCCCAGGGAACGAGAGAAGAAATGAGGTGAGCAGAGCTTTACCCCAGAGGCGAGGAGAGGATGGACTTGGATCCAGATAAGACGTCCGCTCGTTCCCTAAAGGTCGTGCTAAAGAGTGATAAGGGTGGTCAGTGCGCGGGGGGTTGAGAGACCCCGTGGACACAGTAAAATAGCTGTGGAGAGAGTATCTGGCGACTCTCAATAGACTCAGGAGGAGCTACTAGGATGAATGCTTGCCGTGTGCCAAGCCTCTATAGGGTTTCACGTGTGTTATCTCACAAGATCTTCCGGGGTGCGGGTGTCTGGGTTTTCCAGACTACCAATCGGAAGCTGTCAGAGGATGAGTGATTGGCCCAAGACCACCCAGCTAGGGAGTGGAGGAGGCGGGGCCCGAAAACCCCGCTCCAGTCCTCGCGCAGGCGCCCTGGAACTCGCCGCGCTTCTTGTGACCCAGAATTCCCGGGGCTGTGGAAGAGACCATAGGCTAAACAGGAGGGGGAGCCCTGAGTAGCACGGCCGTCTGTATCGTTAATTGGCGGAAAGTTCCCGTGAGTCTTTGCCAGCGTTCCCCTCCTTTTGTGAGGAATGTGATATTCCGACTCCTTAAGGGCCTGGGTTGCAGAAGGTGCGACCCTTTCGCTCCATTTGTCATGCAGGTATAAGGGAATGGTAGCTGAGGGCAAGAGCAAATAAAGAGCTCGAGCTTTAGTGGTTTGTGGGGAGATGTTCCCGGAAAGCCTGGCTAGAGGGCGGAGGGCAGCTGTTGAGATGGCGTGGCTCCCCAGCTCTGACGCCCACGTGGCCTTCGCGGCTGGCGCTGCGGCCAGGTGTTGGGCCGCCTGGCAGGGGCAGCGCGGGGCCGAATCCGGCTGCCGTGGCTGAGGCTCATGGATCACGCTTGTGGTAGGGCCACAGTTGCAAGAGCCTGAAGTCTGCGACCCGGTTCTTAGGCCCGTCATGGACAGTGTGCAAACCAGAGAGAACAGGGTAAGTTGGGGATGGCTTCCCGTTAGGGGTACTCCTAGGGTGGTCTACGACGGCAAGATTGAAATGCTATTAATTGAAGACTTACTCGACTGTCGTGATGATACTTGTAATAGGAAGTGCCGTCAGAAGCGATAACTGACGACGTTTAACGCCTATCTGACCGCAGTCACTCAAATCTCCACAATTTAGTTTACCATAACTTCCAGAGCCTACCCTGAATTCCTGTCCTTACTCCCTGTTTCAGATTGCATACCCTTTGCAGAGTGCTGAAGAGACGGGGTAGCCAGGAGGTAAGAGGCCCTCTGGGGTCGGGTTTACTATGTAAAGTAGTTTTGTCATCTTGGATGCACGGAAATTGGAGTTTTGATAGTTTTCTACGTTTAGGTGTAACTGTATATGTTTTTTTATAACGTGTCAAGGCATTGCATGTGTGGAACTTAAATAGAAACTGGAGATGGCGGCTTCAGCCACAGCCCTAACCTAGAAACTGCATTTAAAGCGAAGTTACATGCAGAAACAAACTCCTTCGTTAAGAAATGTCTCCAGAGGGTCTTGTAAGGCAGTGTTAGCTTAAGTTTCTGGTAGGGTTTAGATCTCCGATTGGAGCAGTACTGGAGAGTTGGGAGGTGCTTGACTGCTCTGATGAAATCACTAATAGGAAGTGCCGTCAGAAGCGATAACTGACGAAAGCTACTCTTGTCTGATTGCAGTCAAGTGTAAACCTCTTGCTGGTTCCCAGGAGTAAACTTGTCTGAATGGTGACCTAATTGCTATCTGTATTCACCTAGGTTGCAGATTCGTGAAGGATTCGTTGGCATGTTTGGCAGCTAAGTATTGGAGCCCGGAGCCTTCCATGAGGTAAGCCTTGGTATGCTGGGAGGCTAGTGGTTGATAATGCCTAGCTGTCAGGTCGAATATTGGCAGTTGGATTTGGCTAACCTAATACCTTGTGACAGTGTAGCCTATCCCAGAGATACTGATTTTGGTTTCTGTTGGCATTGGAGCCAGGGTGGAAGCTAGAAAGAGGAGTTGTTCTTTTTACCTCTTGGCTGTTTAGTCTTGAGCAAATTACCTGTCTGCTAAGATGCAGTTTTCCTCATAAGTGAAAAGGAAAAGTAATCTTAGGTTTGTGAAGTTTAAAGTGATACAACTAAACTGTAGATTACAACTCACCTGTGGCTGGGCGCGGTGGCCCATAATCCTAGCACTTTGAGATCTGGGAATAGTAGCTAAGGGCAAGAGCAAGTAAAGAGCTCGAGGTTTTATGGTTTCTGGGGAGATGATCCTGGAAAGCCTGGCTAGAGGGTGGAGGGCAGCTGTTGAGATGGCATGGCTCCCCATCTCTTGCCCACATGGCCTTCGCGGAGAGCACTGTGGCCCGGTGTTGGGCAGCCTGGCAGGGTAGTGCGGAGCCAAATCTGGCTGAGGCAGAGGTGAGTGGATCACCTGAGGTCAGGAGTTCAAGACCACCTTGGCCAACATGGTGAAAACCCGTCTCCACCAAAAATTAGCCAGGTGTGGTGGCGTGCACCTGTAATCCCAGCTACTTGGGAGGCTGAGCTAGGAGAATCGCTTGAACCTGGGAGGCAGAGGTTGCAGTGAGTTGAGATCCTGCGACTGTACTCCAGCCTGGGCAACAGCGAGACTCCGTCTCAAAAAAAAAAAAAAAATTACAGCCCCCCCCGAGAAGCTAATTAAGATTTGTAGTTCTTAATAATTTGCAAAAAATTACCTCTAATAAGGTCTTAAGGGGCTTTTGTTAGGATGGACCTTAATTTGTAAAGTCATAATTGATGCTGTCATCAGAAATGCCTTTCCTGCTCTGCATCTGCAGTCTCTAAGATGTGTGTGCTTTCTCCATTCCCCCAGGTTTTGAGAATGGAGTGCAATTTTAAGGCTGGTGGCAGCATCTCAGCCCAAGAGAAGGTAAGCCTTGAGCTAGCCAATGACCCCCCCCACCCCACAGTGGAATAAATAAACAGCTGATCTTGTTAAAACTCACTTGAAGAAAAAGATATCAAATGATGAAATCACCCAAAATAGCTGGAATTACCGGCAGATTGTGTAGTGGTGAACCTACGGTTTTCTGAAGATATCTCTTACCCTGTGAATGACTGTTAGTTGGTGCAGAAAGTGAGATTGAAATGTAGTTTCTTTGCAGGTTATAGTCCCAGACGATGTCAGTCCCAAGGACCAGTAGCTGCCATCAATTTGGATTCTGAAAACCTTATTAACGGGCTTCAACATTGGATGTAGAAACATGCTTGCCTTGCGTATCAGAGGACATGCTCAGCAGATCCAAGAGATATATTTGGCAAATTTTTCTAGAAAAGGCACATGGGTATCATTACATTCTTCATTTTTTTGGGTTTTGAGACAGTCTTGCTGTGTTGCCCAGGCTGGAGTGTGGTGGCACAATCACAGCTCATTGCAGCCTCAATCTCCCAGGCAAGCAAGCCTCCCGCCTCACAGCTGGGACTCCAGCTCACAGCACCACATCTGGCTAATTAAAAACAATTTTTTTTTGTTGAGACAATTCGCTATGTTGCCCAGGCCAGTCTCAAGCTCTTGGGCTCAGATGGTCCTCCTGCCTCAGCCTCCAAAGGCACAGGCCAAGTTCTAGCTTTGTCCCTTGCCATCCTGCCCAACAGGTTCTTTCCCTTTTTTTAATGAATGGACTTTCATAAATAGGTTATGTTGAGGGGGGCCAAGTCCTTTAAGCTGGAAATCGTAAATACCTCCTGAAATGTTTTCATGCAGTTACCATGAACTAATACTACAATAAAGGATGGTCTTTGGTATCGATTCTTAAAAATGTGTATTTGAAGAGAAAGTGAATTTTGCCTACTATTGTCAGATATTAGTAGTCCAGATATTAGCGCTCTAGCTTGTAAACTTCCCTGTGGTCAGCCTAAGCTCTTAACCCCTATTACACAGCTTTAGACTGAAGGCAACAACTCAGCATTTACGGCCTCGACAATTTTGGCCCCGGCTGCTCTCATCTCTGTCCCTTGGGGTAGCTTTCTCCTAGCCCCTGCAGCATTGCATCATTCCTAACCACAACCTTAACAGCACGCAGGGCCCCATAGTCTAGGCCCCATCTTGACAGGCCTTCCTGTGTTGGAATCTTGCCTACCAAGGTCTGTCAGAGGGTGCCCCATACTGTTTGCCCACAAGGTTCAAGAGTGATTGCTCCCATTCTCCCTGGACTGAACTACCTGTATCTAGGGGTTGCCTGTTAGAAGAGTTTCCTTAACTGATGGGGCCTGTTCACTAGGAGAGTACTTGGGTAAGGGGAGGTAAGATGAGAACCTTTGCTAAATTAGGCTCCTTTGGGAGCCTCCAGTTTGTTTCTCCCTCTCAGCCATCTTGTTGGATCTGCCAAGGGACTGGTCTTCACAGTCCCAGGTTTTTAAGGTTTTAAAGCCTACCTCTGCAGTAGGTTTTCTGGAACGTGTTAGTGGGTTACTTAAGAGTTAACGGGAAAGGGTCCTTACAGCGTAAGGACCTTCCTTACTGGCAAGTGACGAAGCCAGGCTTGTCAATTGGCCTGCATGCTATGACACCAGAGCCCACACAAAAGTTAGTAGTTTTTCACCTGTAGGGAAGGTGGATATGGGATTTCTGAGCAGGACTAGATGCCTGTATGCATGGGCACCACATGGCATCATAGGCTGTTGTGTCAAAGGGCATAGCTCCCCAGGTTCTTGAGTTACAGGGCTTGCTAAAGATTCTCACCTCCCTTGAGTGGGGACACGGTCATCTGGTTGGAGCTTGTTTCCCCCAAATGAAAAATGTCATGCACGTAGGGGCCCTGCTGTATTCCTTCTCTAGGGGAAAGCTCTTGGTGTTCACATTGGCTCAGGCTTCCAGTACCTCCAGCAATATGCCCATTTCCACAAGTCTTTGGGGAAGGCCATGGGCTGAGCTCAGAAGGGTCTCAGGGGCCTGGGATGACTTAAGAGCCAAATGACAGGTAATGGGATTTGTGGGGGCAGATGGAGAGGACCAATGGGAAGTATCACAAGTCCCCTTCCCCAGATGCTATGGTCTGCCTCTGTAGGTGGGCTGCCCAGGCCAGTTTTTGGCAATAGCCTTAGCCCACCTGATAGGAGAAGCACCTACCCTGCCTGCCTTGGCCGTTCCACCCCACAAGGACTCCCTGGTGAGGCCCCTCACTTCCGTGTCACGTCTGAGCTGCAGCTACAGTCTCCTTGCCCTCAAGGTCTTTGGCAGGTGCCACAGGGCCCCCTCCAGGGTCCTCCTGGCCTACTGTCCCTTCCCAGACCTCCTCCCCACTGCCCGGGCCCTCACCCAGCTCCAGGATCGTGGGCAGGTGGCCCTGCTTTGGGGATCGCTTGCGCAGGCTGAGCAGGAAGGGCTGGGGCAAGGAGAAGATGTCCACGTTGTTGCCCAGGTCAATCCACGTGACGTTGGGGAACTTGCTGGGATCCTTAAGGATGTCAGTGAGGTCACGCAGCACGGCCCGGGTCAGCTGGTTGCCGTTGAGCGCCAGTGTGGTGAGGCGGGGCAGGGTGCTGAGTGCGGGCAGCAGCTGCAGGACCATGTCATCCGTGAGGCCTGTGAAGCCCAGCTCCACACTGTCCACCTGCTCCCCACAGCGCTGCAGGTAGCTGGTCACCCGCTCCAGGTCTCGGGAGGTCAGTGGGATGCCTGACAGGTCCACTGTGTTGTCTGGGGGGCTCCCCGCCAGGACAGCCTTGAGACTGAAGGGAAAAGGGAAAAACAAGCCTCAGGCACATGGGCAGGCCTTTCCCCCAGAAGCTGCAGTGCCTGCTGCTGTGGAGCCAGCCTCTGCTCCGACACAAGGGACCACTTTTCTTTTTCTGTTTTGAGACTCTGTTGCCCAGGCTGGAGTGCAGTGGCATGATCTCAGCTCACTACAACCTCCGCCTCCCGGATTCAAGCGATTTTCCTGCCTCAGCCTCCCAAATAGCTGGGACTACAGGCGTGGGCCACTATGCCTGGCTAATTTTTCTATTTTTAGTAGAGATGGGGTTTCACCATGTTGGTCAGGCTGGTCTCGAACTCCTGACCTTGTGATCACCTGCCTCGGCCTCCCAAAGTGCTGGGATTACAGGTGTGAGCCATTGCACCTGGCCTAGGGACCACTTTAACAATCCGACTGCAGGTCGGATGCCATATGCAGAGGTGGGCGCAACCAGGGACTTCAGTCCCCTGACACTGCTGCACATCTCAGCTGTCAGGGCCCAGCTGGCCACAGCCTGAGGTCTGTGGCTGCCCTTATTTACTGGAAAAGTTGAGTTAAAAGTACCATCAGGCTGCTATATGAAATAAGTTCATAAGTGCAAAATAATGCCTTGTATAGGTGAATGATAAAAACATTGGCTGTTGTATTAATCACTTGGGCTCAGTTTCCCACTTCTTCCACCCTTTGCTGGCAGCTCAGCCCCCATGAATGGCACAAAGGCTCTCTGAGGCCCCTCTATCAAGACCATCTTCCTTACCACAGAAGTGTTCCCTGGGAGGATAGGAGGACCCTGTAGGACAGCAGGCAGGGCAGGGCTCAGGGCCTCTGAGCCTGGTGGCAGCTGCTGACTCCTGGAGGCTGAGTGCCTTGCTCCTTGCTTTCCCCTCCTTGCTCTTGGGACAGAGCCAAAGCAGTTCAAGCTGATGGCGAGTGTGCCCTTCCCGCACACCCCTCTGCCCCCTGCCCCTGCACCCCTGCAGTCTGTTTGCTGGCTCCAAGGCCCAGGTGCAGTGGTGAGATGTTCATTTTCCACATTTTTGTTTGTTTGTTTTTTTTTGAAGACGGAGTCTCACCCTGTTGCCCACGCTGGAGTACAGTGGTGCAATCTCGGCTCACTGCAACCTCCGCCTCTTGGGTTCAAGTGATTCTCCTGCCTCAGCCTCTTGAGCAGCTGGGATTACAGGTGTCTGCCACCACGACATGGCTAATTTTTGTATTTTTAGTAGAGACAGGGTTTCACCATGTTAGCCAGGATGGTCTGGAACTCCTGACCTCAGGTAATCCACCCACCTTGGCCTCTCAAAGTGCTGGGATTACAGGTGTGAGCTGCTACGCTGGCCATTTTCTGCATTTCTTTCTTTTTTTTTTTTTTTT